TTTGATGATGCCAAAGTGATTATAAAGCATTGAAGAAGAATCAAGGTTGAGTTAAAGCAAGTTGATGCAAGAACAAGATCTCAAGTGTTACATAGATAAGTCTTGTCAACTTAGCTAAGAATGTAAAATAATCTTTTAGAACTGCAAGTTTGTTTGGCCTTGAGAATAAGTTTTCAAAAATCTCAAATTAATCTCTTAAAATTTAAGCAAATTTTAAATCTTTTGAAAGTAAGTAAAAATATTTTCAAAAGACTTAACAAAAGCTTTAAAGAATAGTTCTAATCATTTCTTAAAAGAGATTTGTGAAAGAAATTATTGATATGAAGTTTTCTACATAAAAGTTTTTGAAACAATGCAAAAATATGTTCTGGTAATCCATTACCAGGCCTTGTAATTGATTATCAGAACAAGGAAACTTCAAAGTTTAAATTCAGAATACAAAATGTGTTCTGGTAATCGATTACCAGGCCTTGTAATCGATTACTAGAAGAGAAAACTTCAAAATTCAAATTCAAAAATATAACGATTAAGTTATTTTAAAATTATAACTATTGTAATCGATTACCAAATCCTTGTAATCAATTACCAGTGTATCTTTTCAGAAAGAATTCAAATAGTTACACCTTTTCATGAAAAGATACAACCATGAAATTTTTATCTATAAATATGGATGATTTTTCCAAAAAGGGTGACGAACCAAAAATGTGAAAAAGAATTACAAAATCTTCTTGGCCATAATCACTTGCAAATTCTTAAGAGTTCGTTAAGGATCTTCATATTGTAATATCCACTCTTCAAGAGAATTGTTCTGAAAAACCCAATTGATCATTGGATCTATAAAAGAGAAAGAGTTTTCTCCTTGTTGGTTTTGAATCTCAACACAAGGAAAGGGAGTTTCGAGGTGTTGGAGGATTCAAGTCTTGTAAGGTTTACAAGAATAGTAGAAATCTCAAGTGAAAAACTTGAGGACTGGACGTAGGCAGGATTGACCAAACCAGTATAAAATTGAGTTTGCAATTCTTCTTTTCCTACACTTTTAATTACTTGTTATTAATTGTGATTGAGTAGTTTGCATCATCATTCATTCTTTACATACAAATTTATCTAAGGAATTGAATTTGTAAGAAAGTAATTCGGAAAAGTTTTATAAGAGGAAAATTTGGAAAACTTAATTCACTCCCCCCCCCCTCTCTTAAGTTATATGAGGGTACTTGACTAACACTACACAACATGATTTGTTGAAGATGAAAGACACACATATAATATTAATTTTGATTATGATAATGGTGGTAATGAAGTCTCAACTACCGATGTATCTAATGGTCCTCGTTTTATTTTTACTATAACATACTTAAAAGGAAGACACATCTTTGTGATAGATAACAATATCAACAACTTCAAAATGACTTGGTGGAACATATTTGACAATGTTTGAGACATGAAAATAACAAAAACTAGGTGTTAAATATTGTTATAAATAATTTATTGCTATGTATTTCTAATCTTTGTGTATTTCTTCTTTATTTGCTTTTAATATTTAATATTTTATACGCATTAAAATAATAGTGTCAATTTTTTTTATCTATGTTAAAATATTATTTATTATATTTTATTAAATGAACATTTAATTATAATAATTAAATTTCTTTTAAGTTGTCAAAAAATAGTGTAAGTAAAAAATTATAAAAGTGTAAGATGCTTATAAGAACTACCAATTAGAACAAAACTTATAAAAATATAGTATGAATTTCTTAAAAGTGATGTGGTATGATTGACCTTATTTAAAGTGAAATAAAAATTTTAATAAATTATTTATAAGAACTTGCACCAAAAGTATTATAAGCTACTTCAATAAACATATGAAAATAAGTTATAAATTCCTAAAATAAATTATTGACTAAAAAAATTTGTTTTAATCAAATTAACTTATAAATTTGTCATAAAAATTTATAATTTTTTTGAAATATTTTGTCAAATGCATCGATAACATATGAAAATAGACCAAAGAATAAAGAAAGAAAGAGAAAAGTGGGAAGAGACAGAAAAGTTATGTTTGAAAAAAAACTTTTCTAATAAAATATAAGACATTTAACTCTTTAAATATTTTTTAAGACCACATATATTCTTTATAAAAGAATTAATTTCAAATTGAATAGAGCTATTGTGCACGAAAAAATATATATTCCTCTAAATATTTAACATTGTCATACTTAGGACTCATATTTAACACTACTAAATAAGATGAAACAACACACCAATTAATCCACATGTTGATTTTTTTAATGATAATTTTAACGTATTCGGCTTAACTTCTTGTTAGCAGAAGAAAAACTTGTTTTATTTTTATTTTTGGATATATAGAAACTATGTATTCTTTAGGTGCCCAAGGTATTTTGTTTGAGATCTTGGTCTTATTGCCCTTGGTTTCAAAAATCAAAATTATTTTTTATTTGATTTTCATGTTGAGGAAATTTTCATGATACTTGAGCTGTTTATTACTTTTTTTTTAAAATTTTTATTGGAGATAAACAAGTTTGTTCAGGATACTGTTTATGTGGAAGTTGGAAAAGTGAAAATCCATATATCTATCTTATTGGCATATTGATATTTGCATTTCTCCCTTTTTTTGGGCTTTCTAATATACAATATTATTTGTTTTTCCTCTTCCCTTTGCAATAAGTATCTTTTGAGGCCCATTAAAACTGGGCTATGCTTGATTTGTGAAGTATAATAAAGCTTTGGGCCTTGCAAATTCAATGCTGCCATCTTAATTGAATCTTAACAAATTCACCCTTCCAAGATCAAACTTTTGATCTAAACTCAATTTAGTATTGTGAGATTGAACTTCACATCATACCTACTTCAAATATTATTCGATCAGGTTTTTGTTTTACTTTTTATATGTGAATTAAACTTGAGAGGACTTTTTAATCTCAAATCATCCTTTGACATCTAAAGATATGAGAATAAAAAATAAAAAAAACTCTCGAGAACTACACAAACTTGAGTTACAAATGAGTTAAAACTATATACAAAGTCAATACTCAATAAAAACCTATTTATATGTTGGACCTAAGTGCACCTAGGTTCAACTCCTAACAAGTCTAACTTGACTTAGAAATAAAAAATTTCCCTAAAATATGGCACTACCTTAATGGGTAATGTTGGGAGTCAAATTCTTGACCCAATTTGGTCTCAACGCTAAGGTCCAATTACACAAACTAGTCCAAAGCTCAAAATACAAAAATAATGCCAAGGACTTAAAAAAAATATAAAATAACCCAAAAATTAGAATTAAATGTACTATTATAAAATTTAGTTCCCTCAATAAAATATTTGACTTGTTCTTAAGCTCTTCTTTATCCTCTTCCGCGTAGATCTCGATTAGGAATGTTTAGTAACACTTTTAATAACACTTTAGACTTCATTGAACATCATTTTTTTTTTTCTTTTTCAATCTAATATCTCATTTAATGTTTCTTTTCTAATTTAATGGCACAACTTACAAAATTATTGATTTTTAATAACAATTAGAAAGACATGTTCATTATATATTATTAAAATTTATAATAAATTATACATATATAAATACTATATTTGAATATATAAATAATCTCTATTATTGAACATGAATCTTTATCTTAAACAAGAGTATTTTTAGAAATTTTTTTAACTCTTTACTTAATTTAATTTTTATTTATTATAATTATTTATAAATTAAATATTAATATTTAAAAATAAATTAT